CACTCCTTTCTCCGTCTGCAATTGCTGCATGCCAGTTTTTTTCCCCTTCTTAAACATGTTGCCCCAGAGACACTACCACCATTGCTGGTGGGCTTGACCTTGGCCAGCGGTGAGTCCATCTTGGAGCGGTCCGGCACTGGCTGGATTTGATGGCGGGGGAGGGTCTTACCGGTTTGGATGCAGGGGGAGCTTCTAGCAGCTTCTCACAGAAGCCACCCCTGCCATCCCTCTGCTACCAAAACCTTGCCACGCAAACCTGAATATGGAGACGCATGGCAGGTACACACTGCATCTATTTGTAGGTAGCCTATTTATATCAGGGCAGAATTATGTGTTTCCTCAAACTCTCCAGAAAATAAAAGTCTTGGTAGTTTTCATATACACAAGATGTCATTTCCCTCAAGCAAATGCTATAACTTCATGTTGTCAACCTACTCTGGAGTTTGAGTATGCTCAGAATTAAATAATGAAAATACCCATATTCAATATCATATTTGACATAGGCTGTTACAGAGCTAAGCTGTATTCTGTTCCCTCTGCAGAGTACTTTGAAAATCAGCTAGCAGAGCACAGCACCACCTTTGTTCTCTGAAAAGCAGCAGTATTGCAGTCAGGTGCTGAGGCCGGTGCAGCTACTTGCCATCTCCATCCCTCCCACTGCCATCAACTATTTTCTTTGCTTTCAAGTTTTTTCCTAAATTTGGAGTTTTGCACTGTTAGAGTAGAAAGAGAAAACAAATGTGCGCATTCCAGGCATGAGCTGCAGAACTGGCTCCGGTGCACCAGATGGCATTTCTGGCTGCAGAGCAGCTTTTGCAGAGGTGGATGCCAAAATATATGTGGTCTTGCCACTGTCTTCTGCTGTGTGAACCCTCCCATGTTACCGAGTTGCTCTTCCTCTGGTTATTCTATTACAGAGTGTGGTCAGAGATGTTCAGAACAACTTCCACTTTGTAAGTGTCTTGAAAAATTGCCCATTTAATTTGACATAGTTTATTTTTCCCCTCCAGTCTGCAGAATATTTGTATTTTTAGCAGCACATTGCTAAAAATTGCATTCTTTGGTCCCATAACAACCAAAAAACAATATCAGAAGTGGGGGAGTGAATTTGCCTTTGAATTAAACTTCGTGGAAGAAAGATATGAGAAAAAGATGCAGGTATATTAGATGACACCATGAGACCTTGCTACTTTGAAAAATTAAGCTGTGATTAACACGTATTGAGCAAAATTCATGGGAACATTTTGAAGAGCTGCAGCTGGGAAAAATAAGCGAAGAAAATACACTTTAATATTTCTATCCTTGCTCTGTTTTGATTGTGGCATCAGTAACCCATTTCTGACATGAATTTGAGGAGTTTGCTTTTTTCTGGTGTCTGTATAGCTGAGTGTAAAGCAGTGAAATGCCTCTGCTGTTGGCTGATAATGTGTCATGGAAGAGCTGCCCTGGTAGCCTTGATTACTGCATGTGGTTTAATGTTTCTGCCACACCACTGGCAACCAGGAGTAATGGTTGCTTTTGAAATTAAGAGTTAGGGAAGGATGGATCTCTTGTCCGTCTCCATTCACGTCTGAAAGACATGGTGGCAGCAAGCAGGTTGCACTAAGGATTTGGTAAGATGAGGCAAAGAATTGCTTACGGGTGTCTGAAGGTGCAGAGAAGTGGGCTGAGCCTTGGAGAGTGCTGATGCTTTTGCTCATTATATCTCCCCCAGGTTTTGTTTTTATTGTTTTTTTTTTTTCCTCTCAAGGAAAAATCACATTCGTCAGATTGTCCCAAGTGCAATGCCTTTGGTTGCTCTGGCTCATCCGGTGCCAAGCACTGCTGTAGCCTGCTGCATGGTGTCTGAAGGTGCAGAGAAGTGGGCTGAGCCTTGGAGAGTGCTGATGCTTTTGCTCATTATATCTCCCCCAGGTTTTGTTTTTATTGTTTTTTTTTTTTCCTCTCAAGGAAAAATCACATTCGTCAGATTGTCCCAAGTGCAATGCCTTTGGTTGCTCTGGCTCATCCGGTGCCAAGCACTGCTGTAGCCTGCTGCATGGCGGGTCACCGAGATGCAGCTTCCGCGAGAAGCTGGGGTAGCATATCCTACAACAAGAACCCTGTCAGGTTCCTCCTAAAGGGAGGTCAAGATGGCTCCTGGTGTCCATTAGAGAGCTGCAGTGGCAGCTTGGAGTAAACTTGTTCTTGAGCAGCTGTAGCACAGAGGGTGGCAATGGTCCTCTTCTCAGCAAGGAGGTGGTCACCAGCACTTTTGGCGAGGGACCAGAGCACAGCAACACAGGATTTACTTTCCAGCTTTAGATGCAACACAGGAGTCAAGATGCTATTTTTATTTTTAAAAGGCTTTTCAAAATTTTGTAATTTCTTGTGGGAGGCTTTCAAGTCTGTTCTGCTAGGTGGATCCCAGATGCTCCAGGAATCTCCTTTAAAGCCCTGCAAGAACACTCTGGACCATGTTATTGAAGTTGTTTAGCTTTAAGATGTTATGGATCATTTATAATGTGACTGTGGGGAAAATATTTTAAGGCTGTGGTGGCTTTTAACGGTTTTTTCACAACTGTGCTGAACCTTTTAACAGGAGGCAAAATAGGCAAAACCTCCTTAGAGGAGGCAAAATGCAATTGCCTCTATAACAAGCTATTCTGAGAGGCTTTAAACTCTTCCGTGTTCAAAAACTTTTCCAAATGCTAAGACACTAGCAACTGTGGACTAAAATTATTTTACCTTGCTATTCTTGAAATGCATAGTATCCATCTGGGACCTGTGGTGAGCCAGCAGGACCTCTGGCACAGGTTGCCCAGAGAGGTGGTAGATGCCCCATCCCTGGAAATGCTCAAGGTCAGGATGGAGGGAGCTCTGAGCAATCTGGTCTAGTTGAAGATGGCCCTGCTTATTTCAGGGGGGCTGGACTAGATAACCTTTAAAGGTCCCTTCCAAGCCAACCTATTCTATGATTCTGTGAAGGATGGAGCCATGTAGGTGATAACATAGCATGACTTCACAATGCTTATCCTGCCTGCAGCGAGTCGGGTTTATAATTCATAGCAGAAGTGTGGGGAAAAACTTAAAACTATTTTTAACAGCTATAAAAATTAAAAAAAAAAAAAAAAGACAAAAAAAAATAAGGCAACCAAGCACTGGAGAAGGAGAGCAAGGGGAAGATACCAGCAAGATGTATAGCTCTGGGGCTGACTGAAGTTTGTCTGTTTACAGAGTACTTGGGAGTGTGGTCAGTGGGCTGGAGATGAGGCCACCCCCGCTGGCTGCCTGTCCCTACTGCCATCCTCTGTGCCCAGGGACTGCTGCAGCCGGGACTGCACTGCAGCAGCGTCACTCCCGTAGCCTGAAGGCTTGGATACTGTGGCTTACGGTAGCCTGGCTTCAGGTGGTGCTATAGCTGTTGCGTGGTCTGAGCTGGGTTGGTCGTGGCTCCAGAGTTTCAGAGGAGGAGGAGGACTGCTGTCATCCACATGAACACTATGCTGTTGTGGTGGGTTGAGCCTGTCTGGATGCCAGGTGCCCACCAAAGCCGCTCTATCACTCCCTTCCTCAGCTGGACAGGGGAGAGAAAATGTAATGAGAAGCTCGTGTGTTGAGAAGAGGACAGGGAGATCACTCACCAACTACCTTCATGGGCAAAACAGACTCAACTTGGGGAAATTAGTTTAATTTATTGACAGTCAAAATCAGAGTAGGGCAATGAGAAATAAGAGCAAATCTTAAAACACCTTCCCCCCACCCCTCTAGCCTTCCCGGCCTCAACTTCACTCCTGATTTCTCTACATCCTCCCCCCCGAGTGGCACAGGAGGGACGGGGAATGGAGGTTGTGGTCAGTTCATCACATGCTGTCTCTGCCGCTCCTTCCTCCTCAGGGGGAGGACTCCTCACACTCTTCCCCTGCTCCA